AACTGGGTTGGGTGTGAAAAAGTATTTGTTATTAACATTCTTTTTTCATTCGGTTTTTCCAGTTACGAGTCCTTTTTTTAAAGCTGATCGTTTTGTATTCGTTTTGTTTAGTTCTTTTTTCGTAAGAGATTTAATGTTTAGTATAGAGCTTAGAAAAAATTCGCAGTGTGAGATAGGCAAGAAGTAAGGCATGTAACAACATCTGCACGGCAAAGGGCACTCCTTTAAGGGCAAGGAAGGGCAAAATTATTTTAAGTCAAGTGATAGCGATTGCTGTATGAGTCGTACGATTTTTGAATCAAGCACGGGCAACGCCTGGCCATGGCCATTTTTAAAAGTATATCATTTTTCAACTTGAACCTATACTTCAAGTATGGGTGCTGATTTTAGTTTGTTACTAAGCTTGATTTCTTCTGGGTATGATGATAAAATACATCGGGTAACAAGGCCTCTGGTCGGAAGGTTTTGAGGAACGTAAAACCACATCATAATTGCTGTTGTTCCTAGGTCCACCCTGACCCGGTGTGGTCGCCCTTGCTAGGGACCCAGCTATAGGCAAATAGTTAAATCCCAAACTGGGGTCAAAACACTATGAAAGTGTAGAAATACATTTTTATGGTGAAGGAGCTTGCGGTGCATTTTAATAGTAAAAAAAATTACCAGCAGTACATTTTGGTAAAAATAATTTTTAAAAAATTACTAGCAATACATTTTTGTAAAGAAAAAGAAAATATTGCTCGCAACATATTTTTGTAAGTAAAAAAAAAAAGTTTCACCAACAATACATATACTTCCTTTAATATCGTTCTTATCATTCACCCCTTAGCTTAGACGAGACGCGTTAAATTTGAGCAACATCTAGCCGACATACTGGGGTTAAAAATACGAAACTAAAATGATACATATGACATACTCATATCCTCTCTCCCACCTCACTCCCTCACTTCGTTAATTTTACGTATACTTGATGAGGTCCGTCAAAGACGTGTGAATTTCTTTTCATTTTTCATTTCAGCTTTTGGAAGTAAAGTCTGATGATCCAGAACCCTGTTAAAGGGGTTATGGTGAAATAGCTTATTACATGGAATCTTAACGTGGTCTGTCTTTTATTCAAAATATATCTTTATATATATATATATATATATATATGGTGAACCCTTGTGTCGTATTCTTCGTATGAGGGTCAAGCAGCACATTTCTGAGGAACCGACAGCCCAGACATGATTTGATTATAGTCGTGAAGGCATTGTGCAGAAGCAAACTCACATTTTGAAGGGCCGAAGACAGAGATCTGGTCCCTCCGCAGGCTTTCAATTCAGAGTTGTCTTTCTCCAGTTGCCATCCAAGTCTATAGAACCCAGTCTGTCCTGCTATTTACCCATAGCTGGAGGGAGAAGAAGAGGATCCATAACTTTCCCAAGGGTATTAGCACGTAAGTGAATGTAATGGATTCGACTGGAATTCCAACTCGGATCTCCGATTCCTCAATCCGAACCGCTATCCGTTAACGCACCTCGCGACATAACAAATTCTATAAATAAATAAAGCAAGGAATACAATACTAAATTTTTATGTGAGGCATTTAGTATATGAATAGATCTTATATGTACTATCTTCATTTGGGACGTAGAAGATCCCGTCACTTCACAACATCCTGTTTTTTTTTTTGTTTTTTTTTTTTTTTTGCTGTTTTGTAAGTTTTGAACCATTACCCGCCATTTTTGTTCCTGTTCTGTCAAGAAACTAGTGCCTCTCTTGCTTTCAATGCCCTGTGAATGTTACATTCTCCAAGCCCTCTTTTGTCACTGAAATTTCAAATTTCTGTTTCTGATTGTAAGTTTGAATTTACATTTGTGTTGTGGCCTTGTTAGGGCCATAATTATAGACACCAGAGAGGAACTGAGTTAAACAAATATATTAACAGAAACAGTAATATCAAACATATACAATCGTGCGTGTTACAGCAAGAATGTTCGGTCCGACTGTCAGAGCTAACTGCTGAAAACTTCCCTATCCAAAAGGCAATACCTGCTCCTATTTATAGCTTGAAGAGTCCATGCGCGCGTGGGTAAATTACCATAACACTTTAGTTCCTATTTGCCTTAAAAACTTCCCTATTGTTCACATACTCTGTCCATGGTATTCTTAGCATCCGTCTTTAAAACTATATCCTTGTCGCTTGAAGTCTCTTTTAAATACGTGAAGAAATTGTCCAACATTCACTGCCATGTAGTAAATTAAATATTGTATAGCAGTTCAGCGCTGTTTCTTCAAAACTATTCTCATTTTCCAGCCTTGACGGAGTTTAGAGGTGTTTACGCGGTCCTGTAGTGAATAATGAGTTTTCATTCCACAACCTCTTCACCGCAGGCCAAACGATGGTAGTCCATCCCTACCATATCGCTGTTTTCATGGTAGATATTCAGGAAAGCTACATTTCTTCGTTTCACCAGTCCAGATTTTCACAGATAGGACTATGTCCTTCCTGCACGCCCTTACAATGACCTCATTTAGTTACTCTTTGTTTTGAGGTTCTTGTGCCTTCCATAGCGTGAATAATAGTATTTAAGTATCTTTACTTACTTTCGTGAAGACTACTTTCGCTATGGCAATGCACGTTTAGATTTCTGTCATATTTCCTGTTACTATGTCACTACATTAGACAATATTTACTTTCGCACACCAGCGTGATTTTGAAATTTAACACTGGGCGAGGTGAATATCATTGTAAAAAAAAAAAAAAAACACATTAGAAAGGTCTCTAGATAGATAGCCAACCATAGTTAATAGCTCCTACCAGCCACTTTGGTAAGGACTAGTAACTTCCTCATAGCACAGCTACCGAGGGCTTTCGAGCGGTTTAAAGTACCTAATTTCACACATAAGGATTGGATCGACCCATTCTACAATATCCAAGCACTCCCCAGGTGGAAACCATCCTCCATCATAAATCGTTCGAATAAGCTGTGCGCTAAGGGACAAAGACTTTATGAATTTAAGCGCAGTACTAGATTGAAAACAAAGTCTCACCAAATACAGTTGAATTGGCTAAATGCAACCGTAAGTTCTATGCTAGCAGTTTCTTCTCTCGCTCTTCTCGCTAGTGGAACGCTCTAAGTGTTACATACTTTCTAGTCAACTTTCAAAAATGTAAGTACAGTGGGAATCGTTATCTACTCTCTTCTTGGTTACACGTATATACTTCTCTTTTTTCTTATTCTTTCATTCTCAGTTACCCAATTGTGTCTTAGTAGCTTTACTGCCTTGCATGGGGTGAGATGATTAATACAAACACAAACACAAACACACACACACGCACTCACTAATATATATGCACACATATATATATATATATTGATATATACATACACACACATATATATATATACACATACATACACGTATATATATATATATATATATATATATATATATATACTGAGTGAGAGAGAGAAAAATACAGGAAAAGACAGGAATAACTTACCCACTTCTCAAAACATGATCAAATTATCAAATCTCATTTTCGGTTTCTTTTCAAATTACATTTGGGTGGGAAACGGGATCGTTTAGCGAAACGGAATCATTAGCTGAACACGGTCAGTACTCTCACAACATCGGTCACGATGACTTGTTACTTCCTGCTAGTACAACCAGCGTGGACTTCCAAAAGTCTAATCTACCCAATTTCAATCACTAGGCTCGGATCAACCCGTAATATGGTTTTCAGGCACTTTTCAACGCTGCTATACGCTGGGATCGTCTCACCTCGACGAAATCATCAAGAAATCAATATTTGACTATGGTGAAGTTCAATCACGGGTCATATGTTTGGAACTTTAACCCCCTCAGTCACGCGCTCACGAGAGCTTGACTTATAAAACTATCTTTAAATTCTTCTACACGTATTCCATTTTCTGATCAGCCAAATCATTTGCTCGCCTTTTCTCCTCTCATTAGAGGAATTCAGTCCCCATTTCACATATTGAGCCGACTTTATCTCGAGTTCATCACAATGGTAGATAATCAAGCTAGGGTTCAGTAGTTTCTAATTTGAACCGCCTCACACGACCAAGTTGCAGTCCGTCCACTAGAACCAGATGTTCTCGACACGACGCTGATTAGATTAGGAGGCGGAAGGGTCAGCAATAACGTCAGCTCCTTGTCCATTGTCCTCCACCGCAGTGTCACTGTTTGAAGGCAGGGGCCCTGAACATTGCAATAAAGTCCCGCCCATCTCCCGTGAAACTCAGAAAACAAAAAGTTCACATGTACCAAGCTTTTCGTCGTATTATGCAGTGGGGATCCTGAGCTCCTGACCGAACCATTTCACACTGATATCCTTGTTCATCGCCTATTGATCCGTTCTCGGCCAAGAGTTGCCGAACTTACACGCTTGATTACATCCCTTTACTATCTAATAGTTCAACGGGCCAACCAAAGGTCTTTTCTTTACAAATTTAATCATTTTTTTTTCTTTCTTTTTCTGTTGTCTTTCTTCGGCCCAACTTTATTTTTGTCATTTTGCATTCAATCACATTTTATAGCAATTTTTATTTCCCTTTGTCTTTCGTTCGATTTTGAACATTTTATTCTAAATTATAGATTTTTTCCCCACTTTGTTTCTTATCCTTTTTTTACACCTTTCTTTCATTTGTTTTCATCTTCTTTATTTATTTCTCCTTTTTCTTTGTGTTTTGCATTTCTATCTATCTTTCTGATAGTTTTTTTTTTCTTTTTTGCGTTTTTATTGTTAGTTTTGCATTAATTTCTCCGTTTTTAATTTTACATTTTTTCGTTACTTTCTTTTTTCTTTTTCTCTTGCATTTCGTTGTCCTTTTCAAATAGTCTTTTATTTTTACACTTATCTTATTTCCGCATTCATTTCTTTTTTATTTCTTTCACTTTTTTTCTTTCTTTCCTTTGCTTCTTCTTTATTCTTTCTCCCTTTTTCCATTCATTTTTCTTTCATTCTTTTTTCTTTCTTTTTTCTTTTATCTCAGTTCTTCTTTCTTTCCCTCGTTTCTTCTTTATTCCTTCTCCCTTTTTCCTTTCAGTTTTTCTTTCATTCTTTTTCTTTTCTTTCAGTTCTTCTTTCTTTCCTTCGTTTCTTCTTTATTCCTTCACCCTTTTCCTTTCAGTTTTTGTTTTCATTCTTTTTCTTTCTTTTTGCTTTTCTTTCAGTTCTTCTTTCTTTCCTTCGTTTCTTCTTTATTCCTTCTCCCTTTTTCCTTTCATTTTTTTCATTCTTTTTTCTTTCTTTTTGCTTTTCTTTCAGTTCTTCTTTCTTTCCTTCGTTTCTTCTTTATTCCTTCACCCTTTTCCTTTCAGTTTTCTTTCTTTCTTTTTTCTTTCTTTTTGCTTTTATTTCAGTTCTTTCTTTCTTTCTTTCTTTCTTTCTTTTTCTTTCTTTCTTTCTTTCTTCTCTCTTCCTTCCTTTCTTTCTTTCGTTCCTTTATTCTTTCTGCTTTTATTTCTTCACTCCACAATTTTATTTCTTTGTATTCTTTTCCAATTTTTTTTTAATTTCTTGCATTTTTAGCTTTTTTTTTCTCTTTTTCCATCTTCATTCTATACTTTTATTTGTTCTTCTTTTATATAATTCTTTTTTTTTCCTTTCTTCCTTGCTTTTTAGTTTTTCTTATTCTTTAGTTTTCTCGTTTTTTCCGTTTTATGGATTCCACGATACTGCCTACAGCATGGCCTCAAATTGGCAGAAATTGGTTGATGAAGACTGTGTTTCGCCAAATAAATTTAGTTTAGTTGGAAATACTGTCGTTGTGTAAATGTTAACATTCTAAATGTAGAATTTGGGTCTACCCATTTTAAAGATTGGTATTCTGGCTTTTTAGCTAAATTACAAATATGGACTTCTGTTACCAACGGATACGAAGCAACAGTCTTATTCATGACCTCTGCGTTTTATTCTTTTCTACTGGAAACACTACCACTACATTTTGCACCCTCAGCTTACTACAAAACTGAGAGTGTACAATGCATTGGTCTTGCCCTCCCTTCTATGTGGTTGTGAGTCTTGGATACTGTATCGCAGACACATCAAGAAGCTGGAGAACTTCTACATGCGAGAATTCCCTGGCAGTACCGCGTTATCAACCTTGAAGTCCTGGATCGTGCTCACGCCTCAAGCATTGAGTCCATGCACATTAAGAATCAACTCCGATGGGTGAGGCTTGTCATCCGCATGGAGGAGCACCTCTTGCCAAGACGTCTGCTGTACGGAGAGCTTCTGCACAGCAAGAGAAACAAAGGGTGTCCAAAGAAACGGTACAAAGAAACCGTGAAAGAAAATCTCCAGGGGTTGCAAGCTTGAACCCAAAGAACTTGAGGAGCGGGCCAGTGATCGACCACATTGGCGAATCAAAATTCATGATGCTGCTATCACCTTCGAGGATACTCGACGCCTGAAGCTCACCGCTGCCAGAGATTAAACGCCCCAGGCTATCGTCAGCAATGATTACGACAACAGACTTTCAGTGCCACCGCTGTTCCACACTCTACGCCTCCAGCCCGGGGTTGCGGAGCCACCTCCGAATTCACAGGTGAGAGGCAGATACGTCATCTTCAGATTCGAAGGTCAACCGATACTGGAAACAAAGAAAAAAGTGATGAAGTCCTATGTAATATCAATCATCTTAATTGTGGACAGTTAGCTCACAGAGGAAGATGAGGCTTGAGGTGACAAAGATCTGATTCGACAGTAGGACGCTGCAAGTAACAGGTGAGTAACGAAAAAGTTTTAAGGAAAATGCAGGAAAACATTTTTACTTACAATCAAAAATAGTTGCTATTTCTGGGGTTAATAATGTAGAATATGGCACTCACAAGACATATTGAAGAAAAGTGGAGCAGAAGGAATCGTCGAGCAAGCTACCTGAAGGACTTTTGTAAATGAATGTCAGAACAGAGATTGAGAGGGATATTAATTGGGCAAACATTGTTTACAATTAGAAAGAACCGAAAGTTGCGGAGAGCCATGACTGCAAACGTACTGAATGGACAAGTGGAATTAAAGGTTAATTTCTCCTTTCTCCATTTTATTCTAATTGTTTAAGTCATTTTCCTCTCTCTCTCTCTCTCTCTCTCTCTCTCTCTCTCTCTCTATCTATCTATCTATCTATCTATCTTTCTTTCTTTCTTTCTCGCCATCTCTCCCTCTATAAACAAGGATTCTGCCAGTGAGCTTGTTCAGTCTCTTTATTTCATTCATACTTTTTCTTCCTTCTTTTCTTTCATTTTAGTCTTTCTCTCTTTTCTTTCGTTTATTGATTTCTTCCCATTTCTTTCATCTTTGCTTTAGGTGGTGCTAGTGGTCAAATCACTGATTAGATCGCAGTTATTCCAAAATGACTGGCACCTCCGAGAATTTGATTAAACTCACAGTAAAAAATAGCAGATTATATCCAGGAATGTTTCTCTTCAAACAACCTCAATATATCACTTTTATACAAAGGAAAGGGTTACGCTGATTCATCTAATACATCTAATTTTAGGGCTGTCCTTCCAATTCTTCATTACAAGCGAACGAACAAGCTATTCTATACTTAAAACAAAACTGAATCTTTCATATAATCTTTTACGTAAGTTTCCTTCTTATGCGAACAGACACTCGTTCGTTAGAAAAAGTTGCTTTGTTTTCAGTCTTATAAATGAACGTAACAGAAAGTGACTAAGTCAAGCAAAGGATATTTTTCCATCATTTCACATGATGCAAGGCGACAAAGCCACTAAGATGTAAATAGTTGCTGAGAGTGAAAGAAACTGAGAAAACGTTGCTGAGGAAAAAGGACAATAAAAGAAAAAATACAAATAGAAAGAAGATAACCATTGACATTGCATTAAATTCTTTGATGATCGTTGTTAACAGGAAAGCAAGATGGCCGAAGAAAGTTCCGGAAACGAAATCGTTACGTTGATTCACCTAATACATATAATTATTAGGGATGTTTTTTTCTAATGCTTCTTTACAAGCGAACGAACAAACTATTCTATTCGTAAAATAAAACTGAATCTTTCATATAATCTTTTTACGTAAGTTTTCTTCTTATGCGAACAGACATTCGTTCGTTAGAAAAAGTTGCTTTGTTTTCAGTCTTATAAATGAATGTAACAGAAAGTGAGTAAGTCAAGTAAAGGACATTTTTTCCATCAGTTCACACAATGCAAGAAGACAAAGCCACTAAAACGTAAATAGTTAATGGGAGTGAAAGAAACGGGGAAAAATCTGCCTCGTCAGACATGTATCGAATGATACATGATCGCCTAAGCGTGTATCATGCATGGCACATAACTGACTCACATGTTGAACAATAAAAGAGTTACTTATCAAGATTTGAACAAGGCATTCAAAGGGATGTAGATTCTATAAACAATTTCAAAAAGCTTCACAAATGTCCACTATGCCCACCGCCTGTGACATGTCAAGTTGGTAGTCCAGCTCCTGCAAAACACGCTGCAGCATGTCTTGCGTAACATTCTGCTATTTTTTCGGACAGTTTTCCATCTATATTAAGGACGGTATGACAAAATTAAGGTATATCTCTAATTTAAGATACTGTGCCACAACGACTGCGTATTATACACGAGTACTAAATATTAACTTTTTCTGGCCACGTGTATGGCTATATTCAAGATGGTATCACAAAAAGTAAGTTATATTTCTAGTCAAAGATAATGTACTACAAAGATTGCGTATTATACACGGGCACTAATATTAACTTTTCCGACAACGTGTCTCCCTATATTTAGGATGATATGAGAAAAAGTAAATTATATCTCTAGTTTAAGATTATGTGCAACAAAGATTGCGTAATATACATAAGAACTAATTATTATTTTTTTCCAATCACCTGTCTCGCTATATTTAGGATGGTGACAAAAAGTAAGTTATATGTGTATTATTAATTTTTCCGGTCACGTGTCTCGTTGTATTTAGGATGGTATGACAAAATGTTATATCTGTAGTCTAAGCTAATGTGCCACAACGACTGCGTATTATACATGGGAATTAAATATTAACTTTTTCCAGCAACGTGTCCCGCTATATTTTGGATGGTATGCCAAAAAGTCAACTTATATGTGTAGTCTAAGGTAATTTCCAACAATGATTGCGCATTATACACGTGAACTAACTATTATATTAATTCTTTCCAGTCACGTGTCTCGATATATTTAGGATGGTATGACAGAAATTAAGAGGTATTTGTTATCGAAACTAATGTGTAGCAAGGAGTTTAAATCACTAGTTAAACACTGCTTTTATTATTATTATTATTATTTTATTTTCTGACGTTTACACATTTCTTTCCGGGTCTCGCTCAGGGACCTAAGGTTAGAAATGGCATCATGACACTTTCCACTGAAAAACTTACATAGATAAAGCCCTTTGTAAAGTGTGGGCTGTACTTGTCAGAACAGTTTTTTGTATCTCCTTGAAGCATGGACTTCCAGGAATCCCTTCAATTAATCTATTGGAATCTTTTCCAATCAACCCTAGGGCTCTAACTACAACAGAGATTGTTGATGTTCCCATATGCCACATTTTTGAGATTTCTATTACAAGGTCCTTGTATTTTAACAGCTTTTCAGATAAGACGTTTAGCCATCTTGAGACCATTTGTCCTAAGAATCAATGAAAATCCCTTTGAGCTATTCAGCTAGAAAGAGAACAGGTTAAAATCATTTTCTGTCAGCCCCACTGTCTTCCCAACTGAGCAATGGTCAGAGGAAAAAGATCATTCAGGCTCTCAGTAATGGTACCAACATTCATACTCTGGCTTCCATCTTCAATGCCCATTCAAGAACAATCAAGAGAACAGTGAATAAGTTTTAAAAAAAGAGAGAGCAGTAGAGAGGGAAACTAGATCAGGAGGACACAACAGCAATAGGGATCATCCTTTAAACTTAGAGCTAAATAAGTTCTTATTGTTCAAAGTAGAGTCCAATATTGTTATAAAAACTTCTGAGAATTCCCGTAATATAGTTTTAATCATTTCTAAGATAGAACGGCTCAAAGCTTAATATAACAATTGGACAATTTTCTGCTACACCCGGTATAGTAAACTTGTTAAAACTGATCCCCAGTGGCAAACTGGATATTTTAATTTTTTTTTTTAATTTTAATTTTAATTTTTAAATAAAGCAATATTTATTATTTTATACATTTACATATTTCATATATTATTTTAAATCTTAATTAATATAAAAATGTGACATTAAAAAAAAACTTACAGGCCGACAAGTTAGTTGTAGAGAGTTGTTATTCTGTCATCAGAAGAGCAAGATTTCTTCTTTTGTCTCCTTACACTCATTAGGAACTTTTCTGCAGTTTCCTCTATTGTACTGTCTGCATAATCAACAACAACGGGCTCTCCCTCCGAACAAAACTCATGTTGTTCCGCGCCATTTTCATCTCCACCTCGCTCCATGCTTGCGATATATGGACCCTGTATCAAAAAGACCTGAAAAAGCTTGAACAATTCCAAGACAAGCTTCGACAAATCCTCAACATCAAATGGCAGGACTGATGCACCAACAACGAAGTCCTCATTCGCTCGGAAATGCTGATCCTTAAGGCCACCATACTCAAACATCGCCTCAGGTAGTCAGCACATATCACCTGAATGGCCCTTTCAAGACGCCCGCTATCCTTTAGGACAAACGATATCGCGGAGCACCAAAATCCCGACTCAGAGACCAAATGAGACCTTGAAGCTGGAATCAGCACCAGGGAAACAAAAGCTGCCGACCGTCTACTCTGACGAAGAGAAATTCATTTCGGTTGTTCTATCAGATTGGTGCAAAAGTAATGTCCGATTTTAAGGTCTATATTAAAAATGAAAAAGCCCATGATTATGAAAATATTTATTCATTAACATAAACTAGAAGAACACAATTCCATCTGTCAATACGCTTATAAATGCCACCCATGTAGAATTTGAAGTAAAATATGAATCCAATTCATTTTTAACCTCTTCTCTTGATGTCAACCATTGAAATGATTCTGTAGTCTCCGATACAAGTGATTATCAGAAGGAGCAAAGTCAGGAGAATATTATTGATGAAGCAATATTTCTCAACTAAGCTCTTCCAAAAGATTCTTAGCCGAGCTGTGTGAGGACGAGCATTATCGTGATGGATGATGTCATCCTTTCTGTTCACTAAGGTCGCTTTTGGTTCAAAGCTCTTTTCAAACGACGAAGTTGACCACAGCACAGATTAGGTGTATAATTGTTTGATTGTTGGTTAACAGTTCGTAATGGACAATTTCTTCAATATCCCACCATACACTCAACATGATGTTCTTTAGATGACGTCCTCCTCTTGGTTATTCAAGTGAGCTTCCTCCTCGAATATCCTACGATCGGCGGCGTTTGACGTTATTTTAATGTATCTACTTCCCATCACATGTAAGAAGCCTATCTAAAATGACGCCTGAAGGTGTTGTGAAAGCAATGATTCACAACGAGCAATACACTGTTGTAGATTCCCTGGAGACAATTAATGAGGGACTCATTTTTCAATCCAATGAAACCTTTCTGGTCCTTTTTAATTGGCGTAGCATGGTAGTATGGTCAACGTTAAATTTTTCTGCAAGTTCTTTAGAAGTAATGGAGATACTGTCTGTGACAACAGCTTCCAACTCTTCGGAATCATTTTTTTTTTTTTTTTGGACGATGCTCATTTTTCTCGTCTTTCAAACTTTTATCCTCACTTCGGAAACGGGAAAAACCACCTCCTGCAACATTTTTCATTCACTGGATCATCTCAATAAGCGCTCTGGATAGATCTTGCTACTGAACTTGCATTGACACCTTTATGAAATTCGTACAGAAAGATATGTCGAATGTGATCTTTAGATGGGACGAGCATGAAGGCGAATATTACGAGATTTTATGAAAAATGTATTTTATAATGTGAAAGAGAAAGGTATAAATTACTTATTCTGACATTCCTTAACTATAACGAGAAGGACAAATTTCATAAATACTATCTAAAACTTTCTTCTTAAATATCGTAAATTACTTTTGCACCAGCTTGATACTTTTGAGCAGACGAGAAAAAGTTAAAAGGAAATGAAAAATAAAGCAACACAAGGCCCGGCAGCTCCAGCCATGTCCATCACCCGCCCTACCATGCGATCAATGCCCGAGACTGTTCCATTCAAGCATCGTGATGAACCAAACTCGGACCTGAGTGGTGTCGACGACGCCTGTCTCCAAGAAGGAATCAGCTTTCATTTACACACAACATAGAAGACAGTCACAATCTAAAGCCTGGATTCAGAAGTGATACATGCGCAATTCGGTTTTACGTTAAAAAAAAAAAATCAGTTCCGTAACTAATCAGCAAATTCTTTCTCTTAAGCCGAAAAATGTTTTTTATTACTGCCTATTTTTTTTTTTTTTTTTACAGTTGTGTTCACTCTGTACAAGGTCCGGTGGCCACTCGAGGTAGAGTCTTACACACTAAGAGGTACATGCGGATATGTGCGGAAGATAACGGTTAACCCTAGACTTGAACAGGTTAACATTGTAGTGATCGGGCAAGCATACTCTTGAGAGTCCGCTCCACAAGGAAGGGGTTCGTGGTAAGAAGCTTCTTGAATGGAACTTACGTCTGACCACGGAATGGAGGTAGTTCGCTACAATGTGCGTGGCATGGCGGGTCTTTGCCGTAAAGGTTTCAGCTGGTTTAATCTGAAGATTCACCGTGGAAATAGCTAGAGAACAGGGAGAGGCTTGCGCCGTCTAGCCTGTGGGTAAGGGGTTACAGAGCGGTAATTTTCACCGAGATGGACGCAAAGATGCTCTTTGGACACCATCGAGAGTGGAAAGGGAAGACAGGTCGGCTTCCACCCATATATGGCAGCAGTATTTTATTTTCGGACTGATCTGGCTCTTGTAAAGGTCGTGGAGAGCAAGAGGGAAATACCTGCCTAATATGACAAACTCGGAACAGGGGAATGCTGAAGTAGAAACCATATGTGTGAGAGTAAATATCTGACAAAAAAGAAAGAGAAAGGAAACTGAATACCTGCCTCCGGATATCGGGTTCAGATAATGCCGGACGTTTTTTTTTCTGGTTCTTAACATTTGGAAGACAAATTTTGGTATCCCAATGAGCATTCAGATTTTGTACTTTCCGTTTTCTGTTGAAAGACTTCCCAGATATTCAAATTGTTGCATTTGATTGATTTTGGTATTTCCATTTTGTTTGGCTGTTCCTTTTCCTGACATCCATGAATTCAGTTCTTTTTGCCTGCTGCCGTCGTGAAACGAGCGCAAGCTCCCCCTTTGTTTCGCCGACGAATAACGTCCTACCCGCGACCGACCAGTCATGACTGTCTCCTGGCGGCGATACACGCTCGCTACGAGTCCCGACCGACAAGTCGTCTTTCCCGGAAACGGCGGGGAGAAAGAGTGACTCGACGGCGTTTCATGCAATTAATGTTTAATTTAGTCCCTTCTTCTAATTTCATCTATATATGATTCCATTTTTATTTGCCCCATTATATTATAATTTTATCATATAGACAAAAACAGTATAGTCACTACAAAGATGCAACTTCGTTTCGCTGCATTCCTATTTTTGGTCGTCACCAGTCGAGGTGCAACTGAAATGCACTGAAATGAAGTTGCATCTTTGTAGTGAGTAAACTGCTTTTGTCTATATGATTATAATAAATAATTATAATTATCGCTCTACTATCGGTATCGAGCCCTCTTTTGAATTAATGCTGTGAATGTTACAATTTATATATTACTTTCGTTCTCATTGCATATATATATATATATATATATATATATATATATATATATATATATATATATCACTTTAGTCCGATTAAGTGTTTTAGAAGACGAAAAGTGTTATATATTCTTTCACATTCTCATTCAGTTACCGCACTTCTTTCTGATATATAGAAATTCAAATATTTTATTCTCCTTCACACACACACACACACACACACACACACACACATATATATATATATATATATATATATATGCATTATGTATATATACATATTAATAATTGCGCATATACTTACGTTGTAACTCTCAGTACCTGATGAATGCGAAATCCATGAAACTCTTAGTAATACTACAAAGATATGTGTATGAGCAATTATTAACATTTACTTTATAGCTCTGTATCATTACGTTGAGCACTGTTTTGTCAACACTAAAAATTAAATAAATATTTATTTGCTCAACTATATGTATACGTAATCGCACGCGTATATGGTTGCTCATATCTCTTATGATTTAGCTCATTTCAACATATATATATATATATATATATATATATATATATATATATATATATATAAATATAAAAATAAATAAAAAAAATACAATTCTCCATGATTTTCTCGCGTACAGTCATATCTTCTCGATGCGTATCCAAATGTAAACTAATGACGTCACACATTATGAAATGGACAAAGTCCGACAATTACTTTAAGACATTTTTTTTTATGTCTATACGTTCTTTTTTACAGATACAAATGTTGTATTAAATGCTCTGTTTATAATAAACAGTATTAACGACATTTACCGGCCTGAATGTCCGAGAAATCTTCATAAAAGATATGCGTCCTCCAACAGGAATCGAACCTGTATCCTACACCTAACCGTGATATAGCCTGACATGCTTCACCGATATATGTGCGTGTATGTGTGTGTATCAGATATTCGCCTGATGATTGCCTTTTCATTAAACTCCCTCGAAGTTTTGGTATTATTATATCGTATTATATTATATTTAGGCTATGTTGATTTTCGCGTTGAGGCCTCGGTTTGTTTCATATTTTAAGCTTTTAGCTTATTTTAAACTTTAGCTTTTACTTTTGCTATTTGTATATGTACATATATAATATATTTTCCCTTTAAACGTTATTTTTATAGATACAATCTATTTAGGTAAAATACTCTGTTTTTTAATTAAGCAGTATCAATCACATTTACCGGTCTGAATGTTCGAGAAATTTCCTATAAAATATCCGTTCTCCGACAGGAATCGAACCTGTATGCTTATACAGAAACCGTCATTTGATCTGACGTGCTATACCATTTAGCTACAGAGAAGCGTCTTGTAAGCAAAGTCCGAATTAATGTTTATAAACACACAATCTTCGACGGTTTTTCTAGATCGATCAGATCTGCCCACGAAACGTATCTTATCGTAAACAATGACAACATATAATAAAATTGATATTATTTGATATATTTACGTTATTTAATTAATAATGCTTAATTTAAAAAAAACCCAAAAACAGAGCATTTATTTAAATAAATTGTATCTACCTGTTTAAATAAGCAATAACCTTAGACCAAGGAACGGATTAATATATTTTACAATGATTGATATGGGGAAAATAGTTTCAGTTTACGAAGATTTCGTGTCATGAATGGCCTTTAGGGGCAAATTAAATTCGTAAACCGAGGTTCTACTGTATGTGTATATATATATAAATAATAATATATATATATGTTTGTGTGTGTGAGTAAGAGAGTGAGATATTGTTTATGTATATATGTGTTATAAAGGCGAATTCAAATGTCCCTTTTATATCACCTGTTATTTTTGTAAGAACGTATGAGGGAGAGAACGTATGACAGTATGAGACAGTGAGTGAGTGAGTGAGTGAGTGAGTGAGAGAGAGAGAGCTTGTGTCAGGGAGAGACTGGTTGAAAGTGATAAAATAAAGGAAGCCAAAAATTATAAATATATTATTTTAACATTTCTGGATGAAAAAAAAAAAGAAAAAGAAGGAAGAGAAAAGAAAAAAATAATTATCATACATCCAGTGGTTACCAAAGAAACTAGCAGCAGACCTTTGGTACTTCTTAAATCAGATAAGACATCGCCGATGTTATGACCAAGCCGCGTTCGATCTTTGATATTTCTTCACAGGTTTGGTCCTTTGCATTTCTTATTTCCCATAATCCTCTTCGTCTTTCGCAATCCACCGCCTCCCCTTTTTCATCCCCAAAGCCCTTTTATCTTCCCCATCCATTACCTTCCTTTAGAAAAGCACACGCTTGGCAACTTAATTCCTTCACTTTTATTTCCTTTGTTTAACTGACGCCCTTATCTTCCTCCCAGCCTATTTAATATCTATATCGCATTCCAATCGGTTTCGTCTGTCCTTTCTCTTAAATACATTTTTTTCTTTTAAACGTTCCTTATATTCATTTTTTTCTTGTTGTTGTAGCCATTTTCTACTTATTGCTTCGTTATTATAACTTTTTTTTTTCATACTCATTTCTCATGACCTTTTTTCCTTTCAAATCTACTGCCCCCCGACCACCACCCCTGAAAACATCTTTCCTTCTTTCAAGCTTGACGTTTTTTTTCTATAACTCTTAAAAATGTTACAACAATTTGCCTCATTTTACTCCTTGTACAGAGAATTTCTTTATTTGTATGTCTTTTGTTTTTGTTTTTTTTACGTAATCTTTTTTTTTTTTACCCTTTGTCTCGTTCCACCTTCATTTACCTTGTTCCATATTTCATACGAGAAAACACTCAGCATTTCCTCACTCTCTTTCTCTCTCTATTTCCGTCTAATTATCTCTCCCTCTCTCTCTCCTATATATATATATATATATATATATATATATATATATATATAGATAGATAGATAGATAGATAGATAGATAGATATTTATTTCGGGCTAATAACCTCTCACTATTTTATCTATCTATTAATTTCTGTGTAAACCTTATTTAACTGTTTCGGTCATATCATATCTATCTATCTATCTATCTATCTATTAATTTCTGTGTAATTATTCTTTATCTAACTTCAGGTCATATCTATCTATCTATCTATCTATCTATCTATTGATTTCCGTGTAACCATTATTTATCTGTTTCGGTTATATCATATCTATCTATCTATCTATCTATCTATCTATCTATCTATCTATCTATCTCAGTTTGTTCATATCTATCTATCAATCTATCTATCTATCTATCTATCTGGTTCCGTTTGTTTTCTGAAACTCAGGCAAAATGAATATATTCACAGAACAATATTTCTGTCGATTGCAAAATCATTAATTCATTGACGACCTTATCTATCTCAGTCTGTTCTATCTATCTATCTATCTATCTATCTATATATATATTATATATATATATATATATATATATATATATATATATATATATATATTCCAGTTTCTTCATATCTACCTATCTATCTCTGTGTTTGTACTTGAGTCTGTTCATATCTATATCTGTTCGTATCTGTCTATCTAACCATTCTGGAAGTCATTGTTGCCTGTCACAGAAGCAAAATCTTTAGGCACATTAACAACCGTTAGACAAGAAACTTGTACAATTTGTTTAGCGTTATTCTATATAGACTAGTTAGACACAGGTAGCTGTGAAACATACACATCTGTTTATTCTTAACTCTGTTCATCAGATTTTCTCTCTCTCAACCTTGCTTTCAGTCAAGCAATCAATCAATAATTCTGTCTATCTATCTATCTATCTATCTATCTATCTATCTATCTATCTATCTATCTATCTAAAATTCAAGGCAAATACTTTGGCCACTGAATATCTTTAACAGAACACTATTTCAAAGGCCTTATCATCTATCTCATACTTTGGCCATCTTGTTTGGTATCTTCTTTTAACGAAATCGAATCACATTAATTCATTGACGATCTATCTATCTATCTATCTATCTATCTATCTATCTATCTATCTATCTATCTATCTATCTAAGCCTGTTAATTATCTATCTATCTATCTATCTATCTATCTATCTATCTAAAACTCAGGCAAAGTGAATATCTTCACAGAACACTATTTCAATGCCTTATCAGCTTATACTTTGGCCACTTGCAAAATTTTATTTAACGAAATCGAATCACATTAATTCATTGACGATCTATCTATCTATCTATCTATCTATCTATCTATCTAAGCCTGTTAATTATCTATCTATCTATCTATCTATCTAAAACTCAGGCATCAGATTTATCTATATACTTCTGTTTGATTTCATTTCTCATTCTCTCTTCTCTTTTTCACACGCTCTTTGTCTATTACTTTTTATATTTTTCAAACAATCTTTGTCTATATATTTACCTCTTTCATTATTTATTTCTTCACTCTAATTTCCTTATCTATGGATCTATCTGTATATTCTCTTTTTTCATAATTTTATATACAGTCAGTTTATTTCTTTCGTTTTCTTTCTATCTATTTATTTATCTTTTTCTATCTATATATTTATCTTCCTTTCTTTTCTATGTATGTATGCATCTATCTCAGTCTGTCCCTATGTATGTATGTATGCTTGTATGAATCTATCTTTCATAGTCTGTTTACATCTATCTATCTATCTATCTATCTATCTATCTGTAATGACAAATTACGCAGGTGTAAGCTTTAAGAAAGCTTTATTCAACAGGGAATACAAGGTTCGTGTATAGTGTCCTTTTATAACCCTAGTAAACAGAAATAGCTCTCTCAAAGAGGAGAGTAACAAAACAAGGGGAGATCACTCTTGATCATTTATAACACTATGCTGATCATTTTGTATATAATTAGTCGTTTAGTTTCTTTCTTCCATTCTTCCTTTCTTTCTTCCTTTCTTTCTTTCTTTCTTTCTTTCTTTACGTCCCAATATCATTCTCTTTCTCCTGCTACCTATCTATATATCCTCTTCTTTATCATAGTTTTGTATCGTATTAGTTGTAAGTTGCTTTTTGTTTTTGTTAACTTTCATATATTTTACGCTCTTTGATATTCTTCTTCCGTACTGTATGTCTTCGCAAAGCCTGAACCTCTTTTCAGAATGAACTGTTCTGTTTCTACCAATTTACCCCATCTTTCGACCAAAGCACTTGCGCGCATTCTTCGCCTCGACTTCCGGCTAGTTTTTTTTCTCCTGCACTTTTTTCTCACGTCTCTCGCTGGTTTATTTCGGATTCCCTTTCAACCTGTTGCCTTGTCTTCATTCTTCCTGAGACTCTCTCTCTCTTTCTCTCTCTCTTTCTCTCTTTCTCTCTCTCTCTCTCTCCTTCCCCTATCTTTGTCTCTTTGTATTAGTCGCGTTTTTCAACTCCAAAACGCTTTCACATCTTTTCATCTTTTCTCACTCACTTCCTTTACCTTTGCATTCGCCATATTGTCATTATCTCATTGCACGTCAGCCTCTTTTCTAAACTGTTTCTTCTTCTTAACCTCTATTATCTTTAATTCCGATGATCTTTTTGACTAGGTTTCCTCTCTTTTATTGTTCCTTAATTTTTTCTTAGTTTACCACAATGTATTCCACTTTATGCTAAACTTTGAAAAATTCATTAATTTTTTGTAATAATTTTGTCCATATTTTTACAGTTCACCTTTCCATTTGAGAACTCTATTCTATCTCTTCCTTCCCAAAACACTCTTATTACGTCCTCTCTATTTCTCGCACTTCTTTTAATTTTACTATGCACTGGTCCGTTTCTCTCCTTTGTCCTCTATATCCGCGGACTATTTCTTTTTCTTTCTTTTCCTGAAAACTGTTTGGCAGTTCTTTAAAAAGCTTATCTTGATTGCAGCTTTTCCCTGGCTCACTATTTTTTTAAAACTATTTCCGTTTCCAAAATCCAGACATTTTCTTTCTTTCTTTCTTTCTTCTGATATCTCCCTTTCTTTTCAATAGTACTCCACTCTTCCTTTCTTTCTTTCTTTCTCTTTCTTTCTTTCTTTCTTTCTTTCTTTACGTATGTCCTCTACTTATACCCATCCGATCTTTCCTTCTAGATTCTTTTTCTTCTGTTTCTTCTTTGGCGTCGTCGTTATGTTTTTTTTTCTTTCTTTCTTTCTTTCTTTCTTTCTTTCTTTCTTTCTTTCTTTCTTTCTTTTTTGTATCATCTTTTCCTCCCTTTCTTCCCTATAATCTGCCTTTGACATATTCCTGATCTATCACTCCTAATATTCCTCTCCCACTCTCCTTCAATTTTTTCTTTCATTCTTTCTTTCTTTCTATTGATATCTCCCTATTCTCCGTTTCTTGCCATAATAACCGTTTGACATATTCCCGATCTGTCTCTCCTCTCTCACTATCATTTCTTTCTTTCTTTCTTTCTTTCTTTCTTTCTTTCTTTCTTTTGATATCTTGATTTTTCTCTTTTTTTCTCATAATATCCATTTGACATATTCCCGATCTTTCTCTCACTTTCTTTCGTACTTTTTTCTTTCTTTCTTTCTTTCTTTCTTTCTTTCTTTATTTTGATATCTTTCTTTTCTCCATGTCCTTCCATAATAACGCGTTGACATATTCCCGATCTTTTTCTCATCTCACTTTCTTTTGACATATCCCTGATTTTTCCCTCCTCTCTCTTTTCCTTCCTTCCTTCCTTCCTTCCCTCCTTCATTCCTTCCTTCCTTCCTTCCTTCCTTCCTTCCTTCTTTCTTTCTTTCTTTCTTTCTTTTCATAATAACGCTTTGACATATCCTCGATCTTTCTTTTCTTTCTTTCTTTCTTTTCCCCATTTCTTTGGCATAATAACCTTTTGACATATCCCCAAGCTTTTTCTCCTCTCTCACTTCTTTCTTTCTTTCTTTCTGTTTTTCTTTCTGTTTTTCTGTCTTTTTTTTCTTTCTTTCGCGTATATGCTCAATTCATACCCACTCTTTCTAGCTTCTTCTTCTTCTTCTTCTTCTTCTTCTTCTTCTTCTTCTTCTTCTAAATACTCGCACTTTATTTTTCTTGCAAAGCCATTCTTGATTTTCTCTCATTTAGAACTCCATGTGTGTATTGACGTATTTTCTGAGTCATTATACGCCTTCAAGAAAGGAGGGCAGCAAAAATTTACTTTGTTGGGAGTTGCAATGAGTCGCCGTTGTCGTCGTCACCGCCGTCGCCATAACCCTCACCCGCTTCGTCAATGTCCTCGAACAGGGTGGCGGTGGCGGCGACATCGGAGGTAGCTCCACCGGCTGCACCGTTGACGGTGACTGCAGTAGTGGTGATGGAGGCGGGGGGCGTGGAAGGGGGGCGTAGAAGGGGGGAGGAGGAGGAAAGAAGCCGGGGCACTTTATTTTATGTCATTTAGCTTCTCGCAAAGTAACATGAATCAGCATTCTTCCACTCAGTGGAGATGTCATTTCCTAAGACTTGAGATGAGTCGGATAACTTGCGTGTCAGAGGAAAACATAAAAAGAGAAGAGGAAGAACTAAAGAAAAAAGGTGGCTGGGCAAAGAAAGTAGGCAAACAAGAAAAAAAAATGTGGCAGAAAGAAACAGAGAAAGGAAAGTCCGATTCCGAAGGCGACCAGTGATCAATCATTTAAATATACATACTTTTCACTTTTCTGTCGCTTTCTTTTCATTCTTCATCTTCTTCATCTTCTTCTTCTTCTTCTTCTTCTTCTTCTTCTTCTTCTTATTATTATTATTATTATTATTATTATTAATCGTTCCACTCCTTTACTTCTGCTTTCCATATTCTTCTTATTATCATTTTATTTCTTCTTCTTCCTCCTTCTTTCCATCTTCTTCTTTTCTTCTTCTTCTTCTTCTTCTTCTTCTTCTTCTTTTTCTTCTTCTTCTATTACTACTACTACTACTTATTATTAGTAGTAGTATTAGTATTTTATATCTTCTCTTTTCCTTCTTTTTATCTTTTTCCTCCTCCTTCTTTTTTCTTCTTCTCCTTTTTTTTCTTCTTCTCCTTTTCCCCACCTTCTTCTCCTTTTCTTCTTCTCCTTTTTTTCTTCTCCTTTTCTTCTTCTTCCTTTTCTTCTTCTCCTTTTCTTCTTCTCCTTTTTCTTCTTCTCCTTTTTTCTTCTCCTTTTTTTCTTCTTCTCCTTTTTTTCTTCTTCTCCTTTTCTTCTTCTCCTT